GTGGATCGGAAGGTAGTGGGTTCGGTTACTGAGGGGGCTGGACTTTGAAAAAAAAAAGACCTTAGCTCCCAGGTCGACCCAGCCTTGAATGGGTACCAGGTGCAGTGCTAGGAAGTAAAGGCGGCCGGCATGATGCTGAACACATCACCTACCAAGTGCCGTTTAGTCTAAAAAATATAGGTCGGTTAGTTCGACGTTAGTCTTCATAGAAACCGCCCATTTACACACTACCTCCACTTTTGATTGGTAGTTCCCGAGCTCCGTTACCTTCGCACACGGTTATATAGGGGTGTTCCGCTATGCCGTTCATAATATGGTTCATATCATTCATACGTCCTTTTTAGGATGAAATTTATTGTTATTTGAAGCTCCACCCTGGCTTTTGTCAGGGGCCACAATATAGACAGGCCATAAATATGGCCAAATGTCTGAACGCGGTTTCTGGGACTTCTTCACGGTGATCCTCATCCACATGGTGGTACTTTGTGTCATCGGGTGTTTATCGCTTGTGTGATGTCATGGTGAGGTAGAAAGTCAGTCGTTTATGCCATTCATATCGCGTGTTGTATTTTTCAGCACGCAGCGCTTTTAACACTCCAAAAACATGGAGAAACTCGGTCTAACAAAACCCCCCTAGAGAGTGCTAGAACGTATGTCATAGGCATTCTCTTTTTCGGAATGCAAACGTAAATGCAAGACACGCAAAAACCAAACAACAGAGCGGGACACACCCGTAACCTTAAGGAAAGTCGACCAGCCCAACAAACTTGTGGATGAGAGACTAACGTCAAACTGACCACATAGGTCTAGCCCTATATACCCAATACGCCTGAAAAGCGTGGGAAAGGGTCCTTTACTTTTATATGTTTGTAGGCACAGGTCCTTTAATGTTTGTTTCTGTGGACCTGCGTATTAATTATGAATGATTCTTTGTACTTGTGGCTATTGGTGCATATTACGCCTTGTTTGTTTCTATGTGTGAGTGTAATAATCAGGTGTGTTTTTTTTCCGCCTGGAAAAAAGATTGCCGATAACCATAACAGTGTGTCTCAAAAAGTTGCCGGTACTCACCTCAAGGTCTATTACTCTATAGCTTTTTTTTGCGGGGGGGGGGGGGGGGGGGGGGGGGGGGGCTAAAAAGGTGTCAACACTGCGCACCGTTACGTACCACCAGACAAAAGCTCTTGTAGTAATTTTCAAATGCATGAATGAATAAATCGATCAAGAATTGACATCACAGCACTTCGGACATTTCCACACCTGCTCCGTCTCCTTCCTCAGTAGCCATCGAAAAGTCGGCATGCTCATAGTACCCGTGGAAGCTTGATTCAACTTCCGCTTATGTCTCTTCCCCACCCCCACCCCACCCCCCCCCCCTTTCTTTGTTTTTTCTCTTCTCCTGATTGTTGATTATCATCCAGACCCTCGACTCGCCCGACGTTGAAAAAGTTATTCTGGCATGTTCTATTGCAGCGGTAATAAAACTTAGTATCGTAGTCCCCTGGAGTGCCGCGAGCGTATGCCGGGTATCGCAGCGATAAAGAAAAAATTTTCCAGTTTATTTTATTGCGTTAAAAACAACTGAACATTACATATGCACTGTTCTCTCCCTCTCCCCACACCCCACCCCCCTCTCCTCCAAGTATTCAAACAGCTTTAAGGGTAGGTGTGCCGCAAACAAACATTTAGCCCGACAAGGGCGCAGCGGGGGAAAATAGTTTGAGAACCACTTTTCTATTGAACTATCCATTTGATCCTAGAGATCCTTCGCTACATTTAAACTATAACAGAGTAGCTCACCACCCAGAGAAGCAGCGGCAGCCAAGTCTATCAGCATGTTACTATTGATTAGTTTGTCTACGGACCTGTGTTTCTAATGATCTGTGCATCGTGGCAGCTCTAGATCCGTTTATCTACAATCGCTTGATTTCTAATCAACATATCTAATTCAGCTTGATCTCTAATCAACGTGTCTAATTCAGCGGTACCCAGCCAGATGATACTGAAATAGAAGAAAAAAAAAAATTAAAACTAGAATCTGCAGACACTATCTCCACAATTATTGACAGGCAAAGAGGGTTTCAAGGAAAGACCCCTTTTCTTCCCTCTCCCTCCGCTCCTTAACATTACTTTTAAATACCATTATTATGTAAGTCACAAGGCATGGTAGACCAAAGAGGCACTGCAAGGGCCGAATATAAGACGGGCCTGCGGGCCTAATTTGTGACCCTTTGAAAACAAAGTTTGTATATATGTATTCTAAGAGCGGCTCTGCAAGCGAACCGCTGGTGTCATTATCCATGTAGTTATATAACTATCGTTCTGGGTATCCACGATGTCACATACTGCTCGTGTCACGTGCCTAGGTAAGGATTTCTCCTGATAAAACAACAGCACTCCTGAAGTAGTTATAAATGTTGGAGTCGGTTCGCAATGGTCTAAGGCGGAATCCTGCGGCTCCAATACACATCCAGTCTATTTCAGGGGGGAAATTTACATAGAGATGGCGGATTCTAGATGAGTCCAAAATGAAGGGGTGGCTTGGTCTGTTACGTGACACATGAATCTACATACAAATCTAATTTTCACGTGTTTGTTTATCTACTAGGATGCCTTTTTCTCAATAGTTATGTATGTATGCCTAATATATTGTTTTAAATTTCCAGATCAATTCCAATTTAACAACTTAGAGAAGTTTCGAACAGCTGCTACACGCATATATAGGTGGCTGAATATTCCAGAAGCCACATCATTATAGTCCCTGACGCAGTTACAGGCACTAACATTGACGCACAAAATGGTTCGTCAAGAAAGAACTTTACAGGCTGCCTTTTTTATTACTACAATTATTTCCATACACCGAGACCGCCAAAACTAAGAGCCCCAAAAAATGTCGAAGAATTGATGCGGCCTTTTCTTTAAACGAAGATGGTCGGACTTTTTTTCTCAGTAACGACGAGTACATTGAGTACAATAGTATTTATGAAAGCGAGGCCAAGGTTGGACCAATCAGGCAGCTAGGGTTGGATCCCAAAAGTCTTAACAACGTGGACGCTGCCTTTTCTTTCACAAATGGAAGTGTCTATTTCCTCAAAGGGTGCTACTATTACAGGTGAGTGAGTTATCTTTCAAAGTGGGGGTGATCACCCCCTCCCCACCCCACCCCCGCCTCCAACTTACCTCACAGTATTGCTGTCCGTAGGATTAATACATAAACGGGGAGAACCAATTAGAAGCAGATCCCAAAGGTCAAAGGTCAGGATGAGAGGATCAGTCATTGCACGGGGTTTATCTCATATGGCTCAGTCTCTCTCTGCTAGCTGCCAGCCGAGAGCGTTGCACAGAGTACGAACTCAATAGCTCTGGCGACGATACCCGAGGATCTCCGTAAAAAATTGCAGCCGTGAACCATCGGCGCTGCATGGATATAAAGGATGTCTGTTTAGGATATCAACTTAGTTCAACAACTCCGACATACCAGAGACGTAAGACTGCTGCAGGCGATTTCATAGCAGAATGCTTTGCTTGATTTTGAAAGCGGTTTCATCATTCATTTTCATTTTTATCATAATTATCAATATGATCATCATCGTCATCATTATAATTGTCATCATTATTATCATCTCCTCATTATCATCCTCATTATAATCATCATTATCATAATCAAAATCTTCATCATCGTCATTATTATTATCACCATCATCGCAATCACCATTATCCTCAAGCTGTATTTAGAATTCACCCAGCAAAACAATATTAACTGAACGGCATTTTTAAAACATTAGCTTCAAATATCAGCAAGGGGTCACAGTGGCCGGATACGAGCGAACTTGCTAGCCCAGGCCATTCTTCAGGTGTGACCAAGCCACCTTAGCCTTCGTTTACTGAGCATTGAGAGGTAAACAAAAAAAAAAAAAAAAAACTAAAGGAACTTTTCCCACGCCTTTAGGTGTATAAGGCAAATAGGGCTAGACCTATATTTTATAGACCAATCGGCACAAAGATTAGTAATGTAGTCAGCACCACGCCGGCCGCCTTTACTTCCCGGGACTTCACCCGGTAACCACTCAAGGCTGGGTCGACCTAGGAGCTAAGGGCGTTTTTGAAAACAGTCCGGCTCAGCCAGGGAGTGAACCCGATCCGCAGCGAGCTTCTAGCCGCTCTGCCACGGCGTCTCCTGAGCATTGAGAAGACTTTTGTAATACCTGCTCTTTTCAATACTTCAGTGTTTGTGATCTTGTCCTGCCATTTCATGTCAAATATTCTTCTTAGGCATCGCATGTGAAAGCTATTTAGCCGCCTCTCTCCTAGTTCCACTGCCATAAAGCGGAGTGCTGAGAACACAAGCCTAATAGACAAGAGATTTTTTGGTTTGACACACCTGACACAGACACATCTACATTTCCCAGATATCAGAATACCTCAAAACACAGACAGGTCTTAGACTACCAAGGTCAGCGTTCACCCTGACACATATATACCTCCAGTTATTGTGAAATCTGACACAAACACATCTTCATTTCCCAGGATTCTAGCATAGGCACATCTCCATTTCCCAGAATTCTAACATAGACACGTCTCCATTTCCCAGAATTCTAGCATAGGCACATCTCCATTTCCTAGAATTCTAACATAGACCCATCTCCATTTCCCAGAATTCTAACATAGGCACATCTCCATTTCCCAGAATTCTAACATAGACACGTCTCCATTTCCCAGAATTCTATCATAGACACGTCTCCATTTCCCAGATATCAGAATACCTCAAAACAAAGACAAGTCTTAGACTACCCAGGTCAACGTTCATCCTGACACCAATATACCTCCAGTTATTGTGAAATCTAACACAGACACATCTTCATTTCCCAGGATTCTACATAGGCACATCTCCATTTCCCAGAATTCTAACATAGACACAGTCTCCATTTCCCAGAATTCTATCATAGACACATCTCCATTTCCCAGATATCAGAATACCTCAAAACACAGACAAGTCTTAGAGTACCAGAGTCAGGGTTCACTGCAAGACCTGGCTCTGCCCTGCCACGTGGATGCGGCCATTAATTGGGCCGATCGTATACTTGTGTTTGCAGGTGGGTCACATTGCTCTTTACCAGTGGCTCTCAACCTTCCTGAAGCCGCGACCCTTTTATAAAGTTCCCTCATGCTGGGGCGACTCCCCAAACACAATTTTTTTTCCTTCACACCTTCAATAAAATATGTTTTTCGACCGTCTTAGACGACCCCTGTAAAAGGGTCGTTCGACCCCATCCCCCATCCCTCAAAAAAGGGGTCGCGACCCAGGGGTTGAGAACCGCTGCTCTTTACTGTCAGTATTTTTCAGTTTTTAGTCATGTAAATATATGGCTTAGGCGTTGCGAACTCGCTCCATAATGCCGTAGTGTCAGGTTCGATCCCAGCTGCTGGCCTTGCATATTGCGTTGGTTTCGATAGTGACATTGCGAAGCCAACCGTCCAGAAAGTAATGGCAAACTACTGAACGTAAATGTGGCTTGAAAAACAACATCAGTCAACAAATGCTGGGGCTGGTTCTGCGATGTCATGTAAAGGATACACAACTAACATTTAACTTGTGATAAATGTATAATATAATATAAAATATAATAATATAATAATCCTCACATCTGGGAAAATTGTCCGGTAAACAGCATCTTGTCTCGGAAGCTAAAATATTTTGGTCATATCAAGCGCCACGACGGATTGGAAAAAAAACTAAAACAGAAGGCATGGTACAAGGAAAGAGAGGCAGGATGACCGATTATATATATATACACGAAGATATATATATATATATATATATACATAATATGATATATATATTGAGTATGAAAGCACAAGGTGCTGCAGGCGAAGTCATATTTCAGGGTAGCTGCACAACACACAGACACACAGTGTATATATATATATATATATATATATATATATATATATATATATATATATATATATATATATATATATATATATATATATATATATATATATATATATATATATATATATTATATATATATATCGATGTTCTTTATCTATTTGCCAGGATGTCAGATCTGGAAACTCAGCACAGAAACATCACAATTCCACCCAGATGGCAATTTGACAGACAAAGGTCTTCCCTGCCAACTGAACGCCGCTGTTCAGTGGAGCATCAAGGGTGCCATATTTGTAAAAGGCTTGCAATTCTGGAAGTTCGATGATGTTATGCTTGGACCCTTTCACACAGATGACCTTCACCTCTGTTCTTGGTATTTGTGTGGAGAGGCCGACTGGATGATGGAGAGAACGCCCAGTGGCAAATGTAACGGAGACAGCAGGTCTTTGAGATAACTATGTTTGGTTCTTCCTATTTGTAATTTTTTTTTTTTTTTAACTCGAGGAGGACGATTCATTTTACTAATGACTAAATTAATTCCTGTTAAATTCACATCACATGGTTTTCTTCGATACTTTGTTCAAGTTATCGCACGAAGTTCACGAACAATATATCGACAGAGACCACGGGATGTGTATTTCTGTGGAATTAATCGTCCCCTCACCCCCTTTTTTTTTTTTTTTCATTACATGTTGATATAATTCTGTAAAAGCACACGCCTTGATGAATTGAAATATAGCCGGTAATAAACTGTGCAGTGTATTATATACCCCACATTACTTAAATTCACCACGGTAAAACATAGTTTTATATAACATCGATTAAAAAAATAACTATTAAAAAGGAATTACCAGCAAACAATTCTTCCAGTATTCTACAATAGAACAGCGAGTTACCTCACAACGAATTAGTGTGGCTCAGTTATAACAGTTTTACAAAGTTAAAACCAGAAATTGTGGGACGATATTAACATACAATCCAGTAAAGATAACCAAGTATTGGGACGTCTAGCTTATATCTTACAACACAAGACAATCCCGTTCAGCACAAACAAACATCTCATACAAAGAATATTCATTCCCAAGCCTTGCTATCAGTGCCAGACATGCTAATTCACAACAAACCATAAAAGAAAACTACTTACAATGGAAATAAGATTTCTGAGAATGGATGCAGGAGTGACAGAAGAGAAACAATCAGAAATGAGGTCATACTAAACAAAATGAGGACAAAGAAACAGTTCATCAACTTAAAAGGTAAACCTACTTAGAGGAGAAGAGTTGTGATGCCATAGAAGACTGACTGAATGACTTTCTACCCCACTAGGACATCACACAAGCGATAAACACCCGATAACACAAAGTGCCACCATGTGGATGAGGATCACCGTGGAGAGGTCCCAGAAACCGCGTTCAGACAATTGGCCATATTGATGGCCTGCCTATATTGCGGCCCCTGGCAAAAGCCAGAGTGGGGCTTAGCCATACTTCCAGGTCAGTCAGACCTGGAAGTATGGCTAACTGCAAAGATTCATGTGTTGGTTTCGAAGATGGGGGTGGGGGAAATAGACCAACTGCCCCCTACAAAGCATGTCGTAAAAGGCTACCTACTAGGAGTGTTTCCTTCAAAATCAGACTGCATCTGCATGAGAGGCGAGGAAGTAACTGTCTGCATAAAAATAACACGCAAAACTCAAGTAAATTATGTAACAAGACCAAAGTCCAGTAGTGGATGAACAACAGGACTTTCCGTCTGAGTTTTATCAGGAAACGCTATGAGGAAGCAGTTTTTTAATAGTTCATAGATAAATATCTGACAAATGCTATGCTGTTGTGTGGGTCAACAGGTTCTGCAGTCTGCGTGTTGATCAGGTGACACTGGCAGGGCTACACAATGCTGGTGCCGGTTTTGCTGGCGGATTTGGTTTGCTCAACTGTTTGTTGAGAAACCACGCGGAGAATATATCCAGGCAGTTAGAGCTTGGTGAGTTGGTGTCATCATCTGCATCACCTTCATCATCATCGCCATCATCATCATCACATCATCATCATCATCATCATCATCTGGTCGACGCTAAACACTCAGTGGAAAGGACAGACGGACGTACAATCAATTACTGGTGCAATCAGAATTGGAACTCTTCGCTTGCTGCTGAAGATGGGCACGGAGCGCATATAGGAGTATCCCGAGCTCTGTGGCGTCGATTCTTAACTTAACATTCAACATGATCATCATCATCATCATCCTCACAGTCAAATTCCATTGTTGCCTGTCAGCGGCCCGGGAATAAACAATTTATGTTTCAGCTATCGATGTAATGTCTTTGACGTCATCAGTACTTCTTTTCTTTTGTTTTTGTTTGTGTTTTTTGCGTGGGGGGGGGGGGGGGGGGGGGGGGGGGGACATGAGATCTCTTTAGATGTAGTTATTATGGCTGCATTCTAACGTGATGACCAAACCATTTTAAATTCTGCTCCTCGATTTCTGATCAATATAGCATAAAGGAATGATTGCTAGTTTTTAGTAGTCGCAAGCTTTTGCTTCTGTCAAAAGTTAGCTGTTGCATTTTCCTCCATGTGTAGAGTCAAAATATATAGGTACGTCACCCAGACACTAAGTTGAGTGCATGGCGCGACTCTGTGAGCTTCGGATTTCATTTGAAATGATAATGGACTGTGCCCAACGGGGTTTGTGTTGTGAATCGCAGATTTGTAAAATAACGAGTGGCCAGTTGCCAGAGAGCTGATGATGACTTATACGATTAATTGCGTATGAAATTTTAGTTACATTCTAAACAAATTTCCTAAATGTGTGTTCTGTCCGATACCAGCATCTTTTCCTCACCTCATGACCCACCGGAATTTGTCAAGTTTTCTCCAAAAGATTCACTTTAATGATTACGTCTTATTATTTAATTCCTTCTGTTCAGCGGAGGCGCGATTTAATAACTGTGAATAGTTAACTTTCGGGAGCCGCCTATTTGTAGCCGCTAGAGGCTCGTCTGCTTATCGGAATGTCGTGGGTTCGGGTCTTGACGGTACCGGACGTCTTTTTATTTTTTTTTATTTTTAAATGACGTTTGCTCCCAGACGGAACCAGCATTGTATGGGTACCAAGAAGAGTCCTGGGAAGTAAATACGGTTGATGTAGTGCTGACTACATCACCTACCAGGTGCCGATCGGTCTATAAAATATAGATCTTGTCCTATATGCCTAACGACCTGAACGCAGAGAAAAGGTTCTTTTCTTTACTTAAAAGTGAATTTCTATCATTTTGCAGGAATTCGTCACCTAGATATCGACCCTTGCTACGACACGTGTGGCCTCCTAGGTACGTGTCACACCTTCATGTGTGGTGGCAGCATTTGTACCATTATAAAACAGCTGCGGACTTTTCTCAGAGACAATCGGGGAGAAATTGTGACCATAAACTTCAACCATGAAATCAAGGACCCGGAGAAAGTGTTTCCCCGTCTCACTAAACAATTACAGGTTGGGTAATATTTTGTTTCTTATATACATTTTCTCCTTGTGGGTTTCGTTTCTTTTGTACATTTTCCTCTTGTGGGTCCTGGGGCCCATTCGGCTTTCTGGGGGGGGGGGGGGGGGGGGGGGGATGGAATGTCCCCCTAACAACATTCACTAAAGGGCAATTATTTAGATGTGTTACTTTCGAAGCCGCGGTGCATCGTCATGAGAGACGTGTATACAAATAAGCCAGATCTGTAAAACGGATGCGCACGCAACGTTCTGGTGACAAGATTCGAAGTTCAGAAGTAGGCGAGCAACAATAATTGTTCACTAAAGTGTACAGCTGCTGAACGGCTAGAAGAAGAAGAACATCGTTAATCCTTGTGTCATGTAATGGGAGGGAGAGAATCAACACCCTGCACCTTGGCATGCATGTCGTAAAAGCTAAATGAGTAAATACAACAAATATCTTCACCTTCTTTGTTCCTGTTTTATCTTTTAGCCTCAGATTTCGAAGAGGCATTGGTTGCCAACCGTAGTATGTACGGCGTGGATGCTGCTATAAACGGCTTTTGATATTCTATCTATCCATACCTTGCGGGATCGATCTCTGGTTCTGATTCCGTAATTTCGATG